GAGAGCCGGAAGTGGTGCTGTGGCTCAAGTGGTAGAGTGCTAGCCTTGAGCTGAAGAGCTGAGGGACAGCCCCCAGGCCCAGAGTTCAGGTCCCACGACTGAAAAAAAAAAAAAAATCTTAGCTACTTGGCAGAGATCAGGACTGAAGTTTGAGGCAAAAAATTGAAGAGATCCCAGCTCAGCTCAGCAGTAAGCCTAAGCAGAAGGACCTATGTCCAGGTGTGGGCATATGTTGAAGATCCTATTCAAGCCGGGTGCCAGTGGCTCATGATTGTAATCCTAGCTACTCAGGAGGCTGAGATCTGAGGATCCCAGTTTGAAGCCAGCCCATGGGACTCCAGTTAACCAACTCAAAAACAAAGTGGTGCTGTGGCTCAAGTGGTAGAGTGCTAGCCTTCAGCAGAGAGGCTCAGGGACAGCCCCCCAGGCCTTGAGTTCAAGCCTTATAACCCACAAAAAGAAAAAGAAGATCCTATTCAAAAACTAATCCCAAGCAAAAAGGTCTGGTTCACATGGTAGAGAGCCCGCCTAGCAAGCACAAGGCCCTGAAGCCCACTACTGGGTAACAAAAACTGTACAGTAAACCAGGTGCGATGGATTTGGTAAGCATTCCATATGTAGCATCTTCATAGTGCCTGGGATGTAGTGAGTAGTGGGTTCCTTTGACACAAACAGGAAGCCCCTGCAGTGGCTGGCTCCTAGGAAGGGGCAGGTGATAGTTTCTGCCCCTCCACCCCTAGCCTAGCACACCTGGGATGGCTTTGGGGCTTGGGACCAGTAACCTGGCACATACACCCTTTCTTTTTCCCAGTGCACCGGCTGCTGACCCATGCCCTGGGCCACACGGCACTACCCAGCCTTCTCCTGAGCCTGTTGCTCCTGCCTGCTCTGAGCTGGCGGCAAGAGTGCCGCCTGGGCACGCTGCGCTTCCTGTACGCCTCCGCCCTGCTCTCCTTGGCTGCCGGGCTGCTGGCTGTGTTGCTAGCAGGCCTGGGGGTGTCCAGGGCAGCCGGAGGCTGTGGATACATGCCTGTCCACCTGGCTATGCTGGCAGGGCAGGGTCACTGCCCCAGACGGCCCCAAGAGACACTGCCACCATGGCTCTTGCCATGGCTGCTGCTCGCCCTGACTTCTCTGCTCAGCTCCGAACCACCCTTCCTGCAGCTGCTTTGTGGCCTCCTTGCTGGCCTGGCCTGTATCCTTTGCCTGAGCCCAGGGTCCATGGTTGCCTCGTTGAAAGGACCCCATGAGGCCATTTGGGAACAGGAAAATGGTGCTTTGAGGCCTGGGCAAAAGTTAGCAAGACTTCATTAAGCTTGGCATGGTGGTGCATGCCTGTGATCTATTTTGGAGACAGAGGTGGGGATGTGGGTTCTTACTCTGGCCCTGAGGAGAAAGCATGAGACCCTATCAGAGAAAGGACCAAAGTGCTAGGGTGTGGCTCAAGTGATAGAGCACCTGACTAGCAAATGGGAAGGGCTAGGTGCCTTCCCCCACCCCCCCAACCCTCAGGCACCAACCAGAGCCCTGAAGTGAAGGTAGCACCTAAGGTGAGGAAGGAGGGGTTGGGGTGAAGAGAACCAGGCCAGGTAGAGGGCACAGCAAATGCAAAGATCAGTGGTGGGAGCCAACCAAGCAGGTTCCAGATTAGGGAACCAAGTGGGACCTTGTGGCTTGTGGTAAGGTGCCTCAAGCACGAACATTTGCCCCAAAGATATTTAATGCCTATGGAGAAAACTGCCATCAGAGTAGGCCAGCCTTTGCAGCCTGTTTGATTAGGGAGAGCAACTGCCCAGGCCTGGCTGAGGCAGGAGCAGGTATCACAGAGCTCCTGGAAGAGTTGAAGCTGACAGGCACACAGGGCCCTGGGAGCAGAGTGAGTCTGGGGGGGTAGCCATGGCTGGGAGGTGCCAGGTTGTATAAGGAGTCACATCTGACTTGTCCCCTGGAGCCCAGTCACTTCTGCAGGTGCCTTTCCTTCTAGCCGGGGCTGGTGACTTGGGGGACAGCATACTCCTGCAGGGCCATGGTGAGGGACACACGAGGGAATTCCAGGCATGTACATTCCTGGCTGGTTTTGGCCTTCTTTAACCAGCCGCCCTGTTCTGGGCAGACAGATGCTGCCGGTGCCTTCCGGTGGCTAGAGATGTCAGAGCAGCGACTACAGGCACTCCAGGATGGCATCTTGTGCAGGACCCTGGCCGGGTGCTGGCCTCTGAAGCTTCTCCCTGCCCCAGACAGCCTGGCTGAGCTGCCACTCACCCATCCTGTTGGAACCAGGTGAGGGGGTGCCTTGACCCCAGCCTTGGTGCTGGAAATGTGGCAGTGGGTGACAACCAGGCCTTCTTGTACTTCTGCCCTGCAGGCCTGCAAACCCCAGACCTCCTTCCGTGGCCTCCCCTGGTCTCTGGTCTCATAGTGACAGCTCAGCCCAGTTCCCACCAGGCCTGGGGCCTACACAGCTGACCTGGGAGGGCTCCTTGGAGGCCGGCCTGGACTGGACCCAGTCTGGATCCAGCTTTGCCCCAGGAAGCCCACTGTGGGCAGCTCTGGATGAGCAGATGTTACAGGAAGGGATCCGGGCCTCACTCCTTGATGGACCAACCCAGGGGCCCCAGGGCCCACTGTGTCTGCCCAAGTCCTCCGTCTCTTCTTTACGGTAAGGCCAGTGGGCAGGATGTGATTCCTTGGGGTAGGGGCCTGCCGGGCCTGACACTCTTTCCTTGTCTCCCCCAGGCTGCAGCAGCTGGAGCGCATGGGCTTCCCCACAGAGCAGGCCGTGGTGGCTCTGGCAGCCACAGGCCGCGTGGAGGGTGCTGTGTCACTGCTGGTTGGAGGGCAAGTAGACACTGAGACTTTGGTGACTGATGGGAGGGTGGGCCCGGGGTCCCTCTAGCCCAGGCGGAGGGTGGGGACACAGACCTGGCTGGAGCTGCTCTGTGGGGTTCAGGACCTGGGGGAGGGGCAGGTGGACCTCCCTCCCCCTCCACCCTCTGCCAGCATTGCCATGGTACCATGGAGAATAAAAGCATTTGTTTATAGCTGGCTCTTCTGTTGGTATCAAGGAGGATGAATGAATGGCGATGGAGGCAGAGCAGCACTGGGGTGTCTGGGGACCCCAGCAGCCTGAGTTCTCTCCAGGGTCTCTGTTGCTCCTTCCCAGCCCGTGCCTGCCCAGCCTGGGGCCTCAGCTGAGGCCGCCCTCCTCAGCTGCCCAGTCCAGGCACAGAGCAGGCTGGGTGTGATCCTGCAGGGACCTTTATTGTCCAGTACATACCTGCCTCCCGGCATGTGTCGCAGGCAGCCCTTTCCTCTCCGGGTCCCACCCCCACTCAGGACACGGAAGGGGCTGGGGGCAGAACTGAGGCAAGGAGCCCTCCGACCATGCAGTCATGGATTGGCAGCCTGGCCTCGGTGAGAACACAGCACCAGAAGAGAGGAAGGGGGGTGTGTGGTTCCACCCCCCACCCCGAGGCTACCCCCCCCCCAACAGTCTGTACCTGCTGAGGGCCAGGGCAGAGGCTGATGAGATGAGAAGTCTCATACCTCTACCCCATTTCATAGAGGGAAACTGAGGCCTGGGCTCCTGAGTGAGGCCTACTTCCCTGTCAGGTCCCAGCCCTGCTCAGCCTCAGGCATGTGCAGGTACCAGAACCAAGACAGCCCAAGGCAAGGGCCTAGATGGCAGGAGAGACCCTGAGGACATTAATAAATAGGAACCAGCTGTCCATTGAGGCAGCTGACCAAGTCCAGGTGAGGGAGGGAGGGGCGCCTGGCATGGTCCACCCACAGGGCACGGCTGCCCTCAGCCCCTCTCATTCTGGCTCCTGGGGGCCACGATGCGGTAGTTGGCTGCATGTCCTCCCCTCTTGCCCCGAAGGAAGTTAGGGGTGCCCGTGTCACTAGGGCCTGCCCCGGACCCCAGCTCTGGTTCTGTCAGAGGGAAGAAAAAGGAGAGAGCATGTTAGGGGGTGTCATGTGGGTGCCCACTTCCCTTTAGGGGAGCATCCCCTTCCAGGTGCAATGCACTGTGGGTCTGCAGACTGCTGTGGGACAGCAGGACCTCTACAGGCTGCTCAGCCCTCACCCAAGACAGTGCTGGGGCTGATGGACTGCGTGCTGTCAGGTGGAGCTAAGCAGACCCCGTTCGTATGACATGTTCCCCAGGCAGCCAAAGCACCATTAAAGTATTTTTCTTTACCCGTGGAGTGAAGGTGTGCTGTAATCATCCTCATTTCCTAGCTGGGTAATGAGTCTAAGGAAGAGACTATCCCTGGGGTGGGCCATCAGTTGTGGGGAGGGGTTTAGGAGGGTCAGGCTCTGTCCTAGACCTTGGCAGGACCTGGGAAAATTGGGCCTGTGTCAGGGGTTGTCTAGTCTCTCTCTTTTTGTGTGTGTTGGTTGAGGGGCTTTGGGCCTGGGCACTGTCCCTGAGCTCTTCAGCTCAAGGCAAGCATTCTGCCGTTTGAGCTACAGCACCATTTCTGGTTTTCTGATGGTTAATTGGAGATAAGGGTCTCATAGACTTTCCTGCCTGGGCTGGCTTTGAATTGCTATCCTCAGATCTCAACCTCCTGAGTAGCTAGGATTATAGTCTCTTTAAAAAAAAAAAAAGCCAGGCTCTGGTGGTTCACACCTGTAATCTTAGCTTTTTAGGAAGCTGAGATCTGAGAATTGCAGTTCAAAGCCAGCCCGGGCAGGAAAAGCTATGAAACTCTTAAGTCCAATAAACCACTCAGAAAACCAGAAGTGGTGCAGTGGCTCACAAGTAGAGCATTCGCCTTGAGCTGAAGAGCTGAGAGACAGTGCCCAGGCCTAGAGTTCAAGCCCCATGACTGACCAAAAACAAAACAAAAAAAAGAATATTGCCAGATGGACTCTGCAGGCCCAGGAAGCACCAAGATCAAGTCAGATCTGGTCGGGGCTGTGGTGAGGTGTGTCATCCTAAATGCCAGCTGCACCCCAGGTCTAAAGTGGAATAATACGCATTCTTGCCACCTGGGAGAAAAACTAGAGGGGCTACCTCCTCCAGGAAGCCCTCTATGACTATCTCCTCAGATACTCCCAAGGTTAAACAAGGTCAGGCTAGGCTACTTTTCTAGCAGCAGAGGGGCACATATGGAGGAGAGCCCCAGAAGGGCATGTGGTCAAGACACCAGAGCTCCAATCCTAGGACAAACTTGGATTTCGGCAAACACCAGCTTCCTACTGGGGGTGCTGCTGGGGAGTGGGCTGTGTCCCCTTGTCACCCTACTGCCTGAGCCCATGTCCTGTGGACTCAGATCTGGGGCCTATGCAGCTGACCACATGGATAGCCCATCACAGGAACTTGCTGCGCCCTTTGTCAGGGAAGAGGGTGGTACCCTTAGTTCCAGCACCCGCTAGGGTCAAGCCCCATCCCACCCTGCCCTGGCGAAGGTGGCTATGGGCAGGCCTCAGGCCTTTGGGCTTCATCTGGAATGTGGAGATAATACTCTGGTCACACCCTTGCGATAAACGCAGGTTTACTCAGTATGTGTGGCTTTGACCCAGGTCTCCTTCAGGTCTGATCACTCTGGGTTGGCTATGACATGTTCTAATTTGGGGTCCTAATTTTTCCTCTGGACCCCACTCAATGCCTGGTAAGGTGGAAAACAGACCTAGGGTAGCCTGATCCTTAACTGTCACTATCCTGGTGACTGGAGGAGAGGGGAGGTGTCAACTGACTCTGTTTCTTCATCTGAGCAATGGGTCTCAACCACTTGGCAAGCTTATCGTAGGACTAGAGCTGACCAGTGCTCATCCTGGCCAGGCTGGCAGCTGGTTAGTGCCACATGTGAGCATCTGATGGGTCTTTAATCGTGGCCAATGGGGTGGAGCCCAGAACCTTTTCTTTTGGCATTGGTTTTTTTGCCAGTCCTGGGGCTTGAACTCAGGGCGTGGGCACTGTCCCTGAGCTTCTTTTGCTTAAGGCTAACCCTCTACTACTTGAGCCACAGCACCACTTCTGGCTTTTTCTGTGTATGTGGTACTGAGGGCTTCATGCATGTTAGGCAAGCACTCTACCATTAAGCCACCCAGCCTGCACTGCATTGGTTGCATTGGTGGTTCTTTAACCACTGAGCTCCTCCCCCCCCCCCGTCCTCCCCCCCTCCCCTGTCTCATCTCCTTGTCTCCTTCCACCTCACCCTCCAAGCCCTACCGGAGCAGGCTCAACAAGGGAGCCACACTCTCCCGGGCTGGGATCCCACACTTCCTCACTGTCAGGCAGAGCTGGCTGAAGGCAGGCAGGGGCAGACCCATGGGCAGCCTTAGGGGCCTGAGGAGTCTCTTCTAACTGCTGTCTTAATGCTTCTCTGGAGGAAGGAGAGAGACACCTTAACAATGCTGGGATGGTCCTTGGTCCTTTGTCTGCAGATCCCTGAGAGTGAAGAGGCCCATGAGGGACCCGAAGCTGCCTGGCTTCAGGTACAAGCCTGGGTGAGTCTCCCATGAGACCTTGGTCTCCCACCCTGAGGAGGGGATAGGGTTTGCCTGGCCCCAGGTGACCAGCTGGGTGGGGAAGGACTTCTGGGAGACAGTCCTGATCTTTCTAGAAGCCACAGAAACCATGTGGCTGGGGGAGGGGCTAGAGAGAGCATGCAGCTGGGGGAGGGACTTTGGAAGCAAGACCACATTTTCCAGCTTCTAGATCTTTCCACCTCCATCTGGCTTCACCAGGAATGGTTCCCTCTAGTTCTGCGAAATGCAGGAGTCTTGGTTCTAACCTCGAGCCTCCTTCCTGCAGGGGCCTCTGTTCTCCTGTGCTGAAAGCAGCCCTGTTCCCTGGGAGCTGAGGGGGAGACTGCAGAGGGCAGAGGGCGGCTGGGCGGCCCTCTGAGCAGGAGTGGAGCCCAGGCCTGTGGGCCACCAATCCTGTCTCCCCAGTGCCACCTACAGGCTCTGTTTTAAAGGCAGAGATGTCCCCAGTTTCACCCCTCAGAAACCAAGCATAGAGAAAGGTTCTGCCCATGTAGTACCTAACATCCTCCCATGCCACCTTGACCTGACTTCTAGAACCTTCTTAGTGTGTTCTGCCAGATTCTGCACTTTGGCCCTCAGCTCCCAACAATCTCAAGGAACAAGTGTTTCAGGCCTCTCTGGCCTCTTGGCCTTTCTTCTTCTTCTCCTTGTTTACTCTCCCCTGATTTTTGCTCTTCTGATCTCCACTGGGACATCACCATCTCCACGGTGTCTTCCTGACTGCAAATCTCTCCCCTCCCCCAGGCCAGAGCCAGAAGCATTTCTGTACTTCACCATGATATATCTCAGTTGGCTCTCTCCTATCAGTGCCAGGGCTCACCCCAGCCCCCCCCAGCCCCCAAAGCTGCGTGAGGGCAGTAGGACTATGTGGGTGCTTGGTCCTGTGCAGCAGATGTGCAGCACATAGAACACAGGCCTTGACTCAAGAACTAGTTGTTGGAGCTTCTGCGGTGCTAGGTTCCATCTGCTGACCTGGACCCAGCACTTGGAGGGACCTCATGCGAGCCCAGGCCCCTGTGGAAGAACTGCCCCTGCCTGCCCGCCCTGCCATTACCTGGCCAGATGATGGCTTCCAGTAGGCTGACCCGTCTGGCCAGGAGCTCCAGCTGAGCCTGCTGCTGCAGGAAGCTCTGTAAGCTAGGAGCCTGATGGGAGATCAGAAGAGCAGACAGTGCGAGTCTGGCCTCCAAGGGCTGGGCCGGGAGCCCATGGGAGGCAGGGGCACAGGTAGGAGCCTGGACAGGTGTCCATGGAGACCTCCATCTCCCCTCCTAAGCTAGGAACAGGGCTCTTCAGGCAGCCAGGATGAGGAGCCACAGCGTTGAAGGAAGGGGTGAGGGACAGATAAGGACCAGAGTGGGAATTGGAAGGGACACCTGGGGCCTGCAGGGCTGGTCCTGGGAATGCCTCTGGAGGCTTATGGAGGAAGAGAGTCAGAATTGGTAGTCAGTATATTACCCAGAATCCCCTGGGGCCTGAGCCCGGCTCTGTCACCGACAGTCACCTGCTCTTCT